GATAACGCTGATATAGCCTCTCAAGGCTATCAGAATAGGGAGCAGAAAAAAAAATCGAAGTATCATTTGCCGGGCAATGATTGTCCTGTCTAATAAGGCAGCGGTGTTCAGTTGCTGGTTTGTTCTGAAATAATAAATGATATATTATGTAGTAAGATACAATAATAGGGCTCTTCTACCGGCCTACAGAGCTATCCTCCTCTGGATAATTTTGCATTTGCGGATAAGCGGCGATATCTTCCTCAGAAGAAGCCGCTGAAACAATTTGGTGGTGCAGTGGCTGGAGGGCCTATGTCGATGTTTGACGGGCTTGGGTAACTATGCGCATATTTCCGAGAGGTGGCCTGTTTAAAACAATAGTAACATAGCCGTGATAATGCACACGACTATTGTAGAGAGGTGGCAAATAAACTGTTTTGTAATATATGCGTATATAATATAAAATAAAATAAACTGTAAACATTTTATAGAGAAGTATTTCCTGAGGATATTCTCTATTCTAATTTATGTGTTTGTAGTTTATGTGTGCCACGATTTCAATGAAAAAATAAAAATAAAAATTCGCTTTCTCGAAAAATTGTGAGAGATTTTAATTCTGTAACTTTTGGAATAAGCTAGATGCTATTTTTAAATTTTAATATAGATACATTTCACTCAGTTTTAAAACTAAATTTTAAAGATAGCATTTTATTATTTATGGAAATGGCTTCTTGCGTCGCGAACATTATTTAACTAACTAATATTCTCCAATTTTTCTAAAGAGCACGTATTTTTATTATTATTGAGGTCTTCAAATGATGATGCCGTCTTTATTTTTATCTTCATTTTTAAATAAAAATATTTCAAGATTTTTATTGATATAATACATATGATATTCATAAAAACCTTGACATATTCATATATATTATGTTATAGTTTTCAAATAATCTTTAAAAAATTTTTAATAGATATTTTACGTTTTCCAATGATTTACATCCGGCTCCGTTTTCGGACAAATCTCTATATATAAAAACAAATTGCTGTTCGTCAGTCACGCTAAAAAAAAAAAAAAATTTAAGTTAAAACAATTTGCCACTATGTGTAAATATCATTGTTTAGTATCAGCAATAAAGGCTTACAAAAAAAAAAAATAGTCTCGCTAAAACTCGAGAATGGCTTGACCGATTTGGCTAATTTTGGTCTTGAATTATTTGTGGAAGTCCAGAGAAGGTTTAAAAGGTAGATAAATATGAAAATTCTCGGAATTAAATAAAAATAACAATTTTGTTTTCCCTTTTATGTACCCCCGTCAGACGGATTCCTTTTGGTTGTTTTAAGTTTATTTTATACAAAAGTTTAGGTCTTTTACCTATCAATTGAGGCACTACGGACGTCTGCCGGGTCAGCTAGTGAGAAATAAAAATATATATACTAAGCAAGCTGATCGTTCAATTGGTTACGTTTAAATAAAATTATTTAAATTAAACACAAATATGTTATATGTATTTTCTTACCCTCAAGTTTGTTTAACCATAGCTTGAAAAAAAATTCGATTACATTAAAAATATTAATTAATGTAGTCGGTTTTCTTTTTCAATTCGTTACTACATACGTTTTATTTTACAATTAGATTAGAATTATTAGATTAATTTTATTTATTTATTATAGAATTTCATTAATGAATCTTTAAATAATAAATATATAAATAAATAATATAACCTTATCTCACCCTCACAACTACAACGAATTTTATGATGACACGTCACAATATGTTAAGATTCACCAAATGACTTAGGCTATCGTGCGGAAAGGAATTAACTATACACATTAAAAAACACGGGAAAAGAAAGAACAAATATTAAGTTTTCTGTCTTCGGCCTTCGGTCTTCTCGGTCTAAATATGTATGTACCTAAATGTAGAGTACATTTATGGTATTTCAATGAATTTACTTTTTATTTATTTATTTTTTGTTGCTTCATTAATTTTGTGCCAGCGCTCTAGGTTTAGGTAAGGGACAGTTTGTGTTTTATTACCCGATATTCGAGTTGCACACACAAAATGGTGTTTTTTTATTGCATAGACAGGTGAACGAGGTGACGGCCCATCTGGTTTTAATTGGTATATGCTACCACTCAACTGGAGATACAAGAACGGAATCTGAACTATAGTGTATTCTTCTTTGTCCCTTGCTTCATTGCTGAAGGTCGTGTCCCTGAAACTTGACCGTTGCCTGTCTCATGAGCTGTTTCCATCTCGTCCTGTCCTCAGCTGCTCGAATGGCGGTTGCGACTGGCAACCCAGTTAGAGCGGTTACTTGATCACACCAACGGCTAGGTAATCGGCCGCGGGGTCTCTTTCCTTCTACTTTGCCCGTCACAATCACTTTGTCCAAGTTATCTGACTGTCGGCGGGCAATATGACCGAATTAGCTGAGGATCCTGTGGTAACAGATTGTTGAGAGCCTGTTATATATGTTATATATAACTGTATAGCGTTCATTAAAAGCACACTTTTAATTGTTACGTACGAAATTTTTTCAAACAGCACTAATGGCCGATGTTTGAATAACATATTCTATTTAAAAACAGCGTTGGCTAAGGTGTTTTATAGATAAATGTGTACAATATACGAAACATCCTTAAAAACCAAATTAATCCTCGCTGAATTTATGATTAATCTGCCCTGTGTAATAATATCCCATAATTTCAAATAAGTATTACTATGTTATATAACAAGGCATATTTCATGAAGAGGATTGCAAATACATAATACCAATGTCGTATTATCTTGCATCGTAGACATGTTTACTTGGTCTTATTTAGATATTTATATTGACACTAACATTAAATCATTCTGTAAAATAAAATCAACATAAATTTGCGTTGCTGTCTATTTGGACTGTGCTAAACAACTTTGGAGTATCTACATTTTTGCACGTACATACATACGTATATCATGAATTTGATATTACACATTCGAAGCGTCTACCACGGCCTTGTAGGAGGTGTGGGAGAATTGATACACTTAACTTCGAGTTAGCCTACTGAGTTTCTCGCCGGATCTTCTTCACTAAGAAGATACCACTGTTTGCCGATTCCGATCCGGTAGTATGTAGATTCGGCGAAGCACTGCTCTAACTAGGATGTGCCCTAAGATGTGCTAGTAAAGTTTCCCAAGATAAGCTCCGTGAGCTTTCCTACACGTTTGGTGATGCTAGCATAGCTCCATGAGCTCACTAACAGAAGGTAATCAAAATAAAACAGTAAACGCATGTAAATATCCAGTCATTAAAATTACTTCATTTACTTGCGAGAGCTTCGTCTAAAATCATTGAATTAAATAGCTTGAATTAGAAGCTCTTTCAAAGCTTCTCGCCTAAACCAGTTCAAACCTTTTTTTTAGCAGGCCTAAAGTGAGTGAGGTGAACTCACTAAACTAAACAGGAATATACCCGAAATGTCATGTCAATCGCTGTTATGTTGTTGCCTTTGAGAGCCATCGGCTTTTGCGTCTTCTTTTATTTTTGTTCGTTTTTGCTGCAATTATCTAACAATCTTGATGTTTAGTTTTTATAATAGTTCAACAGTTGTGAAATTAGATTGGGCTGAGTGCCTGTTGTATTTTTTTTTATTGCCCTTGTAGGCAGACGAGCATACGGCCCACCTGATGGTGAGTGGTTACCGTCGCCCGTGGACTTCAGCAATACCAGGGGCAGAGCCAAGCCGCTGCCTACCGCTTAATACTCTCCACAGGCCTCGTTTGAAGAAGGACATGTCATAGCGCTCGGGAAACACCGTGACATGTATATTATTACTACAGTATTTCAAGCTTATTAAAAAGAGTAGGTAAATTTAGATCACGTTTGTCATACCTGTCTACGAAATTTGCAAAGTACTTGAGAGGCTCGATAGTCCGTACCTAAATAAAAATAGTCCGAGGAAAATATTATACAAAATGTTGACATAAACTCGGCCATTTTTCATCTAAATTGTAAAATAAATGTTTTGATAGGACTTGTAAGCTGTTCTAGCCATCTTAGTTGTAAAAATTATCTTGTCTGTAATTTAGAAACAGAATGACCATGAAATAGAAATAGCATATCAATAATTATCTAATTCCGAAGAATATTATTCACTTAATTTATTAACAAATGAAGTGAATAATAAAAGCTACAAAAAAAATTGCTGGACTAATGTCATTCTTAAATTAATAATCAGAGTATTTCATTTCTCAACTGCTAATATACTACTTATGTTTTCTGCAATATAACCAATTTAGAAGATTATTAATTCTCAAATCTATACATATGAAACTAATCATTATCTTTTAGGGGGTGGCAGAAATTATCAATTCCCATCAATACTCTACAGTTAGAGACATGTAGAGACCACTCTACTTACACCTAACGCTTAGTGTTTTTCTAGAGATCGTTTTCGCCTAGTACTTACCATTCAGCTTTGGAATGAACTCCTCCACACGGTTATTTTCGAACTCTTTTTTTTTATAAGATGAAAAAGTTTCCTCTCGTAGACATCAAACTAGCTGTCCTTTTGTCATTGCTGACATTAAAGAGCGGCAATCAACAATCTAACTATGTATAGGCTATCAACTTACTGTCGCAGTAAAAATATATATCACTAGCGACCCGCCCTCGCTTCGCTTCGGAAACATTAAAACACACATGAAACCAAAAAAAAAATTAAAAAAAAAATTAAAAAAAAGTAGCCTATGTTCATCAGGGACAATGTCGGGTTCTAATGGAAAAAGAATTTTTCAAATCGGTCCAGTAGTTTCGGAGCCTATTCGAAACAAACAAACAAACAAATCTTTCCTCTTTATAATATTATTAAGTATAGAAGTATAGATATAGATTTCGAAAGTATTCTCGAATACTACAGTATAGGTAGAACCTATTCCTTATCATAGACTGCTTTGAAAATTTTCTGAAGAATATTTTTTTTAAATACTTGGTTCTCTGAAACTTTTAGAAAACTAAAGGATTCCGTGTTGCAATTTCCAGTGAACCCTCGATCCGCGGAACTCTGACAACGCTGACCAATAGTTTCACATCGACCGGCATCTTCATAGCATTTCTTCTGGGCACAGTGTACCCGTGGCGTGAAGCAGCGCTGGTGTGTTTGATTGCACCCCTCGCTACTATGGTGCTCGTTCTATTCGTAAGTAGAAAAACAATTTTGACTAAAAAACATTACAAAATTTAAGTTACAATTAGACAGGAATTAATCTTATTTCTTTAAGCGAGCAATTTTTGTATATAAATATATATATAATCTGAATCTCGGAAACGGTTCCAACGATTTTCATACAATCTAGTACACAGGGGATTTCGGGGGCGATAAATCGATCTAGCTACCTTTTATTTTCAGAAAATGTTGTTTTATTCGTGTTTTCAATAATCAACTTTATCGATAATCAACTTAAACATAAACTTTTTTTTATTGAAAGTAATTTTTGTTTTTATTGCTTAGATGGATGGACGAGCTCACAGCTCACCTGGTGTTCAGTGGTTACTGGAGCCCATAGACATCTACAACGTAAATGCGCCACCCACCTCGAGATACAAGTTCTAAGGTCTCGAGTATAGTTACAACGGCTACTCCACCCTTCGAACTGAAACGCATTGCTGCTTCACGGCGGAAATAGGCGGGGTGGTGGTACCTACCCGTGCGGACTCCCAAGAGTAAACCAGTAAAAATAACCAAAACCAAAAAATAATAAATAATATAATATAATCAATATGTAATTCGTATTTCAATATAATTTCTAAAAAACACAACTTATCATCCTCTAGTTAAATTAAAACTACAAACATAAAGACGAAAATTGGAATCACACCCGAAAGTACCGCCATCGTACCTATTCCTATAGTGGAACACTATTTAAATACCATTTACTTGTGCCCTATTTTCAGTCAGTCAGTCAGTCAGAGTCAGTGAAATATGAAACAGAACAAACAAATTTTTTTTTAAAATGATACCAAGTATTTTTAAGTGTATACTTCTTTAAACTTGCTTACGTGAAGCTTGATGAAGCGAAAATGACATACGAAATGTGACACTGAAAAAAAACAAAGTATACTGCGAAAGAATGAGATAAAATACTTTTGAAGGTTTCACTTGTAGCGTGCGAGAGCGAAACACATGTTTTTACAATTAAAAAAAATCGATGTTGTAAAGAAACTTGATCCCGGACACACACACAGTCCTTGTAACATGCTATTATTTTTAAACATAATTATTAGCTGGCTATTTATGTTGTTGATTTATAGTATTTAGCTTAACTTATTCACAAATAAATATCTATGCATAAATAATTGCAAATATAACTATTTAACATTTTAAATTAATATCAAATTATAATAGTACTAGCGACCCGCCCTCGCTTCGCTTCGGAAACATTAAAACACATATGAAACCAAAAAAATAAAATATTTTTTTTTTAAATAAGTAGCCTATGTTCATCAGGGACAATGTCGGCTTTTAATGGAAAAAGATTTTTCAAATCGGTCTAGTAGTTTCGGAGCCTATTCGAAACAAACAAACAAACAAATCTTTCCTCTTTATAATATTAGTATAGATTATAATATTAGTATAGATATAGATTTGGTCTTACACGGAAATATTCCTCGACGCGCCCTGTTTATCAAAAATAAAAAACCGCAAGCTGTTTTTGTTTGTTTTTGTTGTTGATACTTGTATTTATTCAAATACAAGTATCAACAACATATTAATGTGGAATAAATAATACAAAAATAAAACCCGTTAACATTTTCAATTTTTATCGAAGATTTACGGTGATTGAATTTGATTGAACCGCTCCTCGTGGAATTAGTAATATCATAGCCAAGCCGCTGCGTACCTACTCTTGATGATTATTTACAAACCTATTTTTTTTATTGCTTTGATTGATGGACGAGCTCATAGCCCACCTGATGTTAAGTGGTTACTAGAGCCCATAGACATCTACAACGTAAAATGCGCCACCCACCTCGAGATATAAGTTCTAAGGTCTCAAGTTTAGTTACAACGGCTGTCCCACCCTTCAAACGGAAACGCATTACTGCTTTACGGCAGAAATAGGCAGGGTGGTGGTACCTACCCGTGCGGACTCCCAAGAGGTCCTACCACCAGTGATTACGCAAATTATAATTTTGCGGGTTTGATTTTTATTACACGATGTTATTCCTTCACCGTGGAAGTCAATCGTGAACATTTGTTGAGAACGTATTTCATTAGAAAAATTGGTACCCGCCTGCGGGATTCGAACACCGGTGCATCGCTTCATACGAATGCACCGGACGTCTTATCCTTTAGGCCACGACGACTATTCAAAAAATGTTATAAAGAAGGACATGTCATATTAGTCGGGAAAGATCGCTAAAGGGGAGCACGTTCCAAAGGCGGTTTACTAAAATTATGCCTTGAAACCAACGTACTAAGACACCGATTTCTGTTAAATAATTTATTTATTTATATTTGTATTTATTTATATATATATAAATGAATTGCTGTTCGTTAGTCTCGCTAAAACTCGAGAATGGCTGGACCGATTTGGCTAATTTTGGTCTTGAATTATTTGTGGAAGTCCAGAGAAGGTTTAAAGGGTAGATAAATATGAAAATGCTCGGAATTAAATAAAAATAACAATTTTGTTTTGCCTTTGATGTGTCCCCGTCGGACGGATTCCTTTTGTTTATTTTAAGTTTATTTTATACAAAAGTTTAGGTCTTTTATTTAGCGATTGAGGCACTACGAATTCTGCCGGGTCAACTAGTCATTTATAAATATGATTTCCATTAATAACTACGAATTTTAATATTACTGGTGATCGAATCCCGAATAATTATTGTGAATTAATTAATAAACATATTGACTATATTACCTTACGGCTTTGTTGCGGATTCATCATTCAGTTTTATAGTACAACTAGCCGTACTCGCCCGCTTCGCTGCGCATTTAAAATTAACATTATTATTTGTTGTCATTATTATTAGAAAGTCCAACACTCATATAAATATCAGCCTATCCATTAAGTACATGTTATATTCTACATGTATACAAAGATTCAAGTCAATCGAATGCATGGTTCAGTAGTTATAACGGAACATCCGTAAAAACCACTGTATTATATATTAGTTAGTTAGATTTATATATTAGTATAGATGTCTGCGCTACCCTTTCAACCGAAACGAATTATTATTTTACGGGAGAAATAGACAGGGTGGTTGCATCTACCTGTGTGGGCTCAAAGGACGCCCAATATACACCATTATTTTTTAACTAGTACAAAAATTTTAAGTACATATTAGGGAAGACATTATTATCACATATGTGACGAAAGAATCTCATAATACCTTTAAATAGCAAAGTTATTATCATTTGTTTATTGTAAAAAATCTCACTGAAATCATGGACATATTATTTTACAATCCATTCATTAGTTCATTGAACTGCATCTATGGTATTCCATCCTATTCGCATTCGTACTGTCGCACTTGTGACGTAGGTAGCCTTAGACAATAAAATGAAACAAAAGAACATGTGATGTAGTTACCTACTTTATTTAATTTTCTAAATTCTAACCTCTCCTTCATATTCATCCGGGCTTAGGACCGGCAAAACTACCTTTATACAATTAGTTAAATACGTATGTGATTAGAAAACAATAAACAAATATTAAAATAAAATAAGGTATTCTGTACTAAAAGAAAAGAGAAATTTTGGCATATTTGTGAAGTTAGAATCAGGTGCTATTTACAATAATTATTTACATAGGTATTATTTACTAAACTTACAAGTATTTCAATTGTCCTTCAAAATGTCCACCACCATTGTCAATACACAGACGGGCTCGTTTCATTAAATTGTTTTTAACGAGAGAAGTACGCTTCTCTGTCTTTTCACTTCGTGAATAGCGTCCAATGTGCGATGTTTTAATCATTCGAGCCTAATTGGCTCGCTTCTGTACACACGTCTCTTAATTTCACTCCACAAAAAGAAGTCCATGGGCGTTAATTGTTGAGATTTCCTGTAGTGATATGTTTGTAATCCAGCCTTATTCATAATCTTCCAGGCACAGGACTGGCTGATGTTAAACCGTCGATCAGCGTCATTTGTACTCCGCCGGGATCCTCTTCAAAATACGCTAGTACATCGTCGTACAGATTTTGTTACAACGCCGGTCTTCCTCGTTCTTGACTATGTAACCGTGCGTGGAATGAACCGTGATCAAGTAAACGCTGGTAAGCATTTACCACGGTTCGCACATTTGGCTGTCGAGCGTTCGGGTGTCTTTCCTGTACATACGTACAGCTGCACTCGCGTTTTCTCCACTCAAAAAGTACGCACGAAGCATAGCTACATACTCCCGTGATGTGAACTGATAAGCCATCGCGTCAGGGAAAACTTAAATAAACAACTGTTGCAACGAAAAAAAGCATGCGCAGACTTCCGCTAACAATTTAGCACTGTTTTTGTCGTTGTTGCGTCGGGGCGCGGCGCGGGCGCAGAGGGACAAGGGGTGGTTGGTGGGCTTCGACTTGAGTTTCCCGGAATTTATCAATGGAGCAGCGCCCCGTAGGTACCCAAACCCCGCCGCACGTACCTACTATCGGTCATTGATTGATTTTTTTATAATTATTTAGCGTTTACCAGTTATTACGTATTTTTGTGGACAGTTTTCAGACTTAGTGTTTTTTCTTTTTTAACTACACAAATATGATTAGTTAAAGGTACTTATAGCCCAGTTAAATTTTTTGTACTAATTAAAAAATAGGGGTGTATAGTATATATAGGAATATTGTGTTCTTTTTTTTATAATAAATATAGTATATAGTATAGTCTGAAGTCATATTTAATATTTAATAATAATTATATTTAATAATACCAAGCTAGGACTTTTTGCGTCACGGATACTAGAAATACATGTGTATATGTGTGTACAAATATTCTAGACACGACTTCGAGGTCAAGAAGGGTTGTCATGTGGAGGCTGTGCGATTTAATATATAATATATTACATTATTTTTCTTTTAAACTAAATACATTTCTGAAATTCTGATTGTTTATGAGAGTTACATTTAAATTGGCTTAGACAGGTCCGGACAACATTACACGTACTACGGATAGTCCTTAAGTGTATGTGCTTAAAAGGTACC